CTCTGCATCAAATTAGTAGCGTCAAACAATTTCTCTGCCGCCTCATAGGGATTACAACTCTTACACAGTTCCAGTGTTTGTGTCAGTTAGCCTGTTTACAGAGTTTGATAAATACCTCGACTGCCTCCATATTATTCTGTTGCCATTTCATGTTCAGTTACCTGCAGGTACATGGTACAGAAGACCTACCTCTATAGTTTGTCTTGAGATAACCTATTTGAAGATTTTGTTACATAATTTTTTGGCAAATTGTTGTCTTCTGCATTCCAGATAGCAATCAAACGGCCAGTTTTATTGCCCTCCTAAACCCACTCCCTCTTTTTTTTTTGTCTTCATGGCATTTGTAAGTTAGTGATGCCTCATGCTACCCCTATGTTCAGTGTAAAACATACAATGTACATACAAGAGGTAGCTATTGTACAATACTTGCAACAGCCTACATGATGTGCTAGGATGGCAACAAGTGAAAATTGAAGAATACATAGCATCTCCTTTAGAATTTGTGTTGGTCTGCGTATGTTTTACACTGTATGTGTTAGGACTATGGAGAACCGCTGAACCATTAAATAGAGGAAAGAGAACAAACTTTCACACCTTGTTCGCTTTCGTATCAGCCATGCTTATTAGTCATAATAGTGTTTTTTTCTCAAAACAAAACAGCATCAGCTGACTTATAAGTCACAGAAACGATCAAACGAAAAGGGGTTGCTCTGGCGCACTGTGCACTTTGCAACCAGCAGTGCATTAACACGACGGCCAGCAAAACGCTGTTTACGTTCCTCCCCGTCGCCCGCGCAGGGGAGCACGAGCTATCGAACTAGTTCTCTTTCACCCACAAGCACAATGCTGAATGCTCATTGTCACTAGATTTAGTGAAGTTTACGAGAAGTAAAGCTCTTACAGATCCATTTGAGAAGCAAAGTAGAAAAAAAAAAAAAAGTCTACATAACCCTCTCACCTACTGCTACTCGACTACTTCACCCTCTCTAACCTTTAAAATCAAGTATTTAACCTCCTAACCTTTACAAAACTGTTCAAATAATCACATACGATGGTTTTGCATAGTGGTTTTGCCACGCTGGCAACGCACTTTGATGCTGACGTGGACTAACAAGTGGGCCCCGCTTGTGAGTGGCAAAGTCTTCTCCCCTTACCTCCGCGGCTCCGCGTCGCGTCCATCTGCGCGCAGGACCTCATCCCGCATGACACCTCGCGCCCGATGAGCGCCTGCGTCAAGCTGCAGCTCGGCGTCTAGGTGCGCCGCACGCGCCTCAGCCGTGTAGGCTAGTGCCATAAGAGGGAGTGACAAGAGACGGACCTTAACGACGACGTCAGGCCTGTACGACTCCGCGATGGCAACTGCGCAGGGAGGTTGTGGAATACATGCTCGATGTGGACTCGCCGTGGCCGTAGGCCTCCAGCACCCAGCGCCGTCGCCGAGAGAGCCACGGTATCACGCCCCACCATCGTCCGAGCTGTGCACAGCGCGTGCGCGCCCTCGCCACCCGCGAGCCGGCCTCGGGAGCTCGCCCGCCGCCATTGGGGCCAGGTCGGGCCGCCAGCCGATTCGCCGTGGTCTCGCTACCTCGGCCTGATTCCTCTGAGAAGTAGCACCGCCTAGACCCCGCCTACCTCCCCGACTGCCCGCCTCGAGCCGCCGTTCTTCGCGTTCACCGTTGCAGCCACTGGAACGCCGCCTGCGCCGCGCGCCCTGCCATGCCGTGCTGCCCCACTCGCCGCCAGCCGGCTCCGACCTCCTGATCCCCGCTCCACCGTGTGCCTGGAGCTCGCCTTGCTGGGCCGATGCTCTTGGTGCTAGACTCGTTACCGGCGACGGCCTCGCCGGCTAGCACCTGCCGCGCGTAGCCGCCACGCCTTTCTGTGTTTGGCCGCCCACTGTAGAGATCACCCAGGTCCGCGCGTCACGGACAGGGTAGAGCAGTGGGTAGATATGGGTGAGTGAGAAAAGTCTGGTTGTGAGGAGGAGACATGCCCACTTACGAGTGGAGCCCACTTGTCAATCGTCCACATCAGCATTATAATCCACCTCAGCCCACCAACGTGGTAAAACCACCAAAGGCGTTATTTGAACGGTTTTATAAAGGCGAGTGGGTTAAAATCTGGTTTTAAAGGTCGTGGATGAAGTAGTCGAGCAATAGATGAGAGGGTTGCATATCCAAAGCTACTCACAGTACACTAGCACATGATCGAGCACAGCCTACCAAATCCGAGCGACGCGAGGAAGGAGATCAGCCTGCTCGTGCTGTTTCCATTGGAACGAACCCTCGGATCATCAAGGAGAGGTCCTCTGGCCACCGATGGGGATGGGCGCTGCTGCCGCGGAGGGAGGCCCGGCCACCGGCGAGGACAACGCGGAGGGGAAGGACGGGGTCCGACGGGATGAGGCGAGTACGAGGCGGAGGTGGAGGGGATTGGCACGGAGGAAACGAAATCGCGCCAAACTCAACTGGATCCCGCACCGACGAAGCGAAGACGACGCAAAACCGTACAACGCGTCTCTTGGCCGGCGACGGAACCTTGGAGCACGAGCCTCTCTCTCCTCATTCAAGACAGTGCGGCGGGGTGTTTTCTGCATAAAACACATGATACAGACGCCTCATACAGACGGGCTGTACATGCCCTTAGTTTCGCATAAACCTTGTTACCATTCGCCCATGGTCACGTACTAAAATTTTTATTTCCAAGTATTTTTCGGAACTAATGGATTTGAGTATAACGTTATAATGGTTAATGGATTTTACCAATAATCTTTACACGAGCACAGCCCATCCTTGAAATGGTGGAACCGGTTCCTGTCCCTGACCACAATATCGCGATCAAAGACGCAAGACACGAACTTCGTTGCCTCATGGCAATCTCTACAGACTCTCAAATTCTTGGTGATCCGTATCGTGTCGCCGGACCTGGTGCGCAGGAGCCCGAAGGCGATGGCCAGCTTCTCACTGTGGTAAAGCAATGGCGTCTCCTTCTCCTCCTCTGCAATGGCGTGCAGCACGTCCCGGGTATCGGGCACGTAGCCCTCTGCCCTGATCTTCCTCATCATCTCCCTGACCATGGCGTACACGTACACCTCCTCCGCCTGGGGGTGGCAGAGGCCACCGCACTGGAACTCGCAGACCTCACCTTGGACCTCGATCACTGACCGCCCGGCTTCCTTACTCACATTCCGCTCGTCCATCAGCCGCCGGACCCTGGCCACGTCCTCCCACCGGCCGGCCGTGGCGAGGAGGTTCGCCAGCAGCACATAGCGCCCGCTGTTCTGGGGATCCAGCTCAATGACGCGCCACCCAATCGCCTCGCCCAGGTCGACGTCGCCGTGTATCTTGGACGCGCCGAAGAGCGCACCGAGGACACCGACGTCTGGCTCCATCGGCATGTCTTGAATAACCTTCTTGGCTTCGTCCAGCTGCCCTGCTCTTCCGTACAGGTCCACCATGCAGCCGTAGTGCTCCATCTTGGGCTCAATGCCGTATCTCTGAGAAATATAGTTGAAGTAGTGGCGACCCTCGCTTAGCATCCCCGCGTGCGCGCAGGCAGTGAGTACGTTCACCAACGTGACGTCGTCCGGCGCCACGCCCTCCCTCTCCATCCGGCCGAAGAGCTTCAGAGCGTCCTCGCCCCGCCCATGCACCGCGAACCCACCGATCATGCAGTTCCACGACGTGAGCCCCCTGGCCGGGAGGGCCTCAAACACACGCCACGCCTCCTCGACGCAGCCGCACTTGCAGTACATGTCGACCACCGCGGTCGCCAGCTTGTCGTCCACCTCGATCCCGCTCTGCTCCACCCACCGGTGCACCTCCCTCCCGCGCGCCAGCGCGCCGGCGCCCGTGCACGCCACCACCGCAGTAGCCGCGACAAAGGCGTTCCCGTCCACCCCGCGCGCCCGCATCTCGTCGAACACCTCCAGCGCGTCCAGGAACCTCCCGGCCTTGACGTACCCGGACATCATCGCGTTCCACGACACCAGGTTCCGCTCCGGCATCCCGTCGAACAGCTCCCGCGCGTCGTCGACCAGCCCCAGCTTGACGAGCCCGCCGACCATGGTGGTCCACGACACGACGTCGAGAGCGCCGCCGCCGCCGCCGCGGAAGACGCGGGAGGCGAGGTCGGGTCTGGCGTTGGCGAGGTAGGCGGCGAGCAGCGCGTTGAGTGACTGCGTGTGGGCGTGGAAGCCGAGCTTGAGTAGCAGCGCGTGGAGCTGGGCGACCAGGTGGAGCGGCTGGGCGCCCGGGAGGATGCGCGGGAAGGTGAAGTGGTCTGGGTGCAGGGGCAGCGAGAGCATGAGGGCCAGGAGCCCCGCGGCGTGGCGCGTCGGGAGCGCGGAGAAGAGCGGGTTGAAGAGCGCCGGGTGCGGGGCCGGGTGGTGCGCCAGGAGGCGGCTCGCGTACGGGAAGTGGGAGTCGGCGTCGCGGGCGAGGAAGGAGAGGAGGCGGCGCGCGTGGGCGGGGTGGGAGGCGACGCCGAGACGGATGAGCTGCGAGTGGTGTTGCCGCAGCACGGCGATGGAGGTCAGCGGGATGGGGGTCGGGGCCGGAGCGGACATGGACGTGAGCAGAGCACCTTGGGGCATCTGGAGCGGTCAGCGGCGATAAGCTCAGTGGCCTCCGAGCGCATCAAAGCGAGGCCCAATTCGCGGTGACCACTAGCTCGGTGCCAACCACGCCCACACATGTTTTATCTCTATCCGCCTTCACATACAGCGACACAGCTACCTGAGTTTGGATTGTGTAATTCGTACGCGCCACGCTGCCACCAGAAGAGGAAAGGAATCGAAGCCAAGACCCCAAGACCGTAGAAAAGCCAAGGCCATCGATCCATCCCACTCTCCAATAATGCCGCTTCTCTCTGCGCAACCCCGTCCCCTCCCCGACGCCCACCACCACCACCACCGCGCCCTCCTCCCGCCGTCGGCCGCAGCGTCCTTATTGCCATTGCCGTCTTGCTCCAGGATTCGATCAGGGAGGCGGCCGGCGAGAATGGGACTGCGAGTCGTCTCTCCGGAGACCTCCAGCACTGTTGCCACCGACGCTGCGGCGACCGCCGGCGCGCCGCCAGGTTACACGCTCTTTCCAGTTATTAACTACTGGCTCTGTGCTAGTGGAAGTGTGGATTGTGGAACGCACAAGCTGGGAGCATGTTCATCGAATGTTCTGTCCGCATGCTTTTTTTACTTCGAATTATTCGTAAGATGATGCTAGTCCACACGCAGGAACACATTGCACCGAAAGAAAAGCATAGTAGTTAATAACGGCACACCCTCCAATGCGAAAGATAGATTCTGCTGGATATATATACACATATTATTATATATGTAACTAACTTGATGAATGGATCGTGAACAAGGACAACCCACGCGCGGGCGCGCAGATAACAGCAAGTGGGCAGAATTCGCGGCGCGGGTGTCCGGCGAGTGGGACGGCTTCGGCGCGGACTTCACGGCGTCCGGCGACCCCGTGGAGCTGCCGGAGAACGTGGTCCCGGAGGCGTACCGGGAGTGGGGCGTGCAGGTGGTGGACTGGCAGACGCAGTGCCCGACGCTGGCGGACCCGGCCGCGCCGTGCGCGCTGCACTACCGCCTGGTCCGCCTGCTCCCCACGGTGGGGTGCGAGGCTGACGCTGCCACCGTGCACACCTCCCACCAGCGCCACGCCGCCTCCGCCGCCGCCTTCGCGTACGCCGCCGCGGGGTCCTACGTCGCCGCGTGGCCCAGGGGCCCCGCACCCGTGCTCGAGGTGGAGCACTGCGTCGTGCGCTCGGACGCGCCCGCCGAGGAGGCCGGCAGGGTCCGGGTGGTGCAGACTGTGGCGCTGGGCAGGGAGGCGCGGCTCCGCGGCGTCAAGGTCTTCGCCGAGCAGTGGTACGGCCCGTTCCGCGACGGCGAGCAGCTCGGCGGCTGCGCCGTCGGGGAAACCGCGTTCGCGGCGGGGGAGAAGCTCGACGTCGCCGAGGTGATGGGGCAGTGGGAGACCACGGACGCCGCCGCCGCGAGGTTCTCCGGCGAGCTGGACCCCGAGACGGTGAGCAGAGTAGACCTCTCGCTGATGATTGATCAGCGCGTTGGTGAGCTAGAATTTCACTGACGAATGCATGACTTGTGTCTGATCGATGAGCAGGGAAAGTTCGCGGAGCTGTCGCCGGACGAGCCGAGGAAGGTGCTGAGGGACGCGGATGGCGTCGTGACGCTGCCGAAGCAGCTGTGGAGCGCGTTCAAGGAGCTCCGCAATGGCGAGTTCCTGTGCGAGGTCGGGTGGGTTCTGGGCGGCGGCAGCGCTGTCACGTCGCGGTGTGTTCTGTCCACGGACGGAGACGTCAAGGCAAGGATTCCAGCGATCGATCGATCAACACACAGAGTGGTTCAGTTCAGCTCCAGAGTGAGTTCAGAGACTAACCCTGCTTAGCTTGCTCTTGTCTCGCAGGAGATCGCTGCCGCCCACGAGCGCCGGGTGTCGGAGACCACTTGACTTCGGGGCCAATTGACTTCACCCAGGTTCTGCCAGATTCTATGTAGAGTAAGTAGATAAATAGAAAGGGCCAATTGGCCATAACCCATACACTGTCATCATACAACAAGAACAAAACGCGCTGCTTGACGAGCCAAATGAAATTGGTATCTTCGAAGGCACACTGCCTGCTTGGCTGTCTAATCTCAACACTCTTCGTCTGAACAATCATCTCTTCGTCTGAACAATCATTTAGACGATTACACCAGTTTATTTGGCCGTTTATTCTGTTTAAATTGACATATGTTCGTTTCGCTAAAAAGTCAGGCTGAAAAGTACCGTTCGCTGATTTATTTATTTATTGTGAGAAAAAAACATCGTAACATGGCTGATAAACAAGGCTGATAAGTTCAAACGAACTGTCTTGTAACAATAGTTTAAATGCTTACACCATTTCTATTTATTTGGCTGTTTATCCCGTTTAAATGGAGGTTTAGTTCAAACAGTGATTAAACAGTAAATTTACTTGGCAGAACATGCACCTGCAGGCGTAGCGCGTAAGCACAAAATGATCACTAATACGGCATTGACGGGTAAAACAGAATGATAAATCTGTCGCAGAGTTGCGTTAGCACATTTCGAAGCGGCATAACATCAGAAAACAGAATTTCCTTAATCTTCATGCAACCTGTAACAAAACGAACAAACTGAATGCACTTCTTTTAGTATTTTGATTGAATCGCTTGAAAGGATCACCAGCTACATAAACCAATATATACCACTACTATACATCTACTAGTGTCTCTCATGACAAACTATATTCTTGCCAGCCCACACTTATTTGGGATAAATACTACTAAATGAATTCATTGATTCGCTCCCTTCTCGTACATATCACTACAACCCGAATTCGGGTCATGGAGAAACGATGAATAAGAGAAGAGAACAAAATCTGTACATGGCGAGTGCATCAGTGACAGTGTACTTGAGGTGCATCTCTCAAGGTTACATTCAAAGTGGTTTCCATTGGTTGCCACCCAAGTCCAACTTTGTTGCCTTGCATCATGGCTACGAATTCAGCGTAGTCAATCTGACCGTCCTGAAAAGCAGATACATGGAACATTAGCACATGCATTAGTTAAACAGTACAATAAAACTCAGCAGAGGCATTGTTGGTTCGTGGTAGTCCTAACAACTGTAGCGTGGTTTTCACCATATATTATCCATGTCTTATAATTCTGTAATATACTGCCTATTTCTCAGGTAAATTGCTAAAAAACAGCCAACCATAGGAAACTTATCGGGTAGGAGAATTCTCACAAGTAAATTCAAGATCAAAAGGTGAATGCTCTGTCACTGGATTGGCAATGACTGCTGTCACCAAGTATATTTACTTTTTTTTTCTATCCTTTATGGTAGCTGAAATCGACAGCTGTGAGTTAGGTGTGACGTTTGATGCCCAGCCACCAAAGGTGTTTATATATTCTATAAGTAAAATATCATTCAGGATAAGGACTAAGGAACCATTGCAATGTTTTCCTACAATGCGACCCCACATGACTCAAAGGTCTAGAATGACGTCGACATGTTTAGGTACCCCCAAGTGATGGACATTAGTGCTAAAATTCTTTTGGCATTAGTATGGTGGTTAAAGTAAGACAACCAACTTACATTGTTTTGGTCAACTTCTAAAATTATCTCTTCAAGGAATGTGTCCTCCATGTTATGTTCTCCACAAGCTCGTTGAAGCTTGTCAACTGTGATATAGCCACTTCCATCTTTGTCAAAGTAAGTAAAAGCTGCCATCAAGTGCTCCTCACGTTCTATTTTGTTAAGAGGCACAGTTGCAGCGATAAATTCTTCATAATTGATGGTCACATTATTGTCATTATCAGCCTGCAAAAGATTCAAGAATTTTAGCTGATCTTCAGTGGAGCAGATATTATCTAAAAACAGATGCATGTCATACAAGAATAGAGGAGAGTTGCTATTATGTAAAAAATGCATTGTTTAGGTACTTTTCCTTAGGTGTTGAAAAAATGCATTGTGATGGGCTAACAGCAGGTTATGTAACACAAATGCATGGTTTGGTTACTGAAATTTAAATTAAAGGCAACTAATTACACTTACCGTTTCCATTATATCACTAATTTCTCTATCCTCCAATTCAGTACCATATCTTCTTAAACCTTGTCTAAGTTCACCAAAAGTAATTACACCTCTATTTTGAACATCCACTGCCTTGAACATTTGTCTTAACCCAGCAATCTCTTCCTCAGAAAGTCGTTCAGCTATCACCTGGAGGTACATAAAGAGTCAGAAAAACTAACATCTAATATTGACATAACTGAAAATTGCAGAATGCATAATCAAAGGCAAAACAAAATTGAATCCAACGTGTTATAATGCATATTCCAGTATTTTGAACTGAATCCCAAACCCTAGAATAATTAGTGCATTGTATCCCCACGTAGAGTGAAAAGAATAAGGGTGGTCAGCCTGAAAATGCTGTAGCTCATATGGAGGCAACTAACTGCATCCATGACCAGTTATTATCATGTACGAGTTACTGTGTTAATTGGAATATGTATGTAGGTTCGACTCTAATATTTGTAAGGTAGAGTCCAAATGAGATTAAGGCAATTGTCTTCCAGAAGATGCCAAATACATATGCAGCCAAAAGTTTAAAACATTTCCAGATCCAAAAGGGACAAATGATAAGGCACAAAAAAAAAACTCATACAAAGTTCAATCAAACATGCATGGTCATGATTGCAATATAAAGATGAAAGTAGTGAAGTGAATAAAATACTCACTCTCAGAGCCAACTTCTTTAACTTGTTCATTGCAGAGAATTGTTTGAGCCGAGAGAGAACACTGGGATCAAGAGCCTGATCAGTGGCCACTCCATTTTCACAGATCCAAGGATGGCCTGGCAAGCATATATTTCAGTTTCACCAGTAGAGAACTATGAATTTGGTAATTCCTAAAACAATGCGAGGAGAAATAACCTATGCTGCAAACAGAGCTAACAGCTAGACAGCAGCAACTGAATTGACTGAAGATGCAGACGAGATTTAAGATATACTTACGTAGTGCTTCATAGGCTTTCAGACGCTCTGAAGGACAAGGGCAGAGCATCTTTCTTATGAGATTCTTTGCACTTTCAGATATCTTAGGCCATGGGTCCGAGTCAAAATCAATGTGTCCCTTCAGGACAGCGTCAAATATACCTTGTTGTGTCTCTGGTAAAACAAATCATGTTCATTAGCAATTCAGAAATGTAGTTGCCCTGAATGGCTGGATATAACACCTGAGAATAGAAGTAACCTGCCCAAAAAGGTGGCACCCCACTAAGCAAAACATAGAGCATCACTCCAACTGACCACACATCAGCTTCCGGTCCGTACCGCTTGTGTAGTACCTCAGGAGCAATATAGTATGGACTTCCAACCAGCTCAGTGAAAACCTGACCTGCAGTTTTGAATATGAAAAATAAATTAAGGTTTAATCCATAAACCCATCAGAAATCACACATAGAACACAAAACTGATTGATATGAACTGAGACTGATAAACAACAATAAGCCTTGACGAACAGGGGCATGGGCACATAGCACGCCGTAACTTATTGGTCTATCATATTCCATATAACAAGCAGAAAGTAAAGAATTGTATCAATTTCGGATCAGTGAGACAGTACAATGCATAGGTCATGGCTTAGTGTTGTAGGCTAGTTTGTTGCTCATAAGGTCAGGTTCAAGCATGCTTGCAGACGATAATATTAGGCATCACTACTACTAGCTACAATATCTTGTAAGCAAAGTAGACATGTAAACACTATGGCATTAATCGTAGGTTCGTAGCTTTAAAATAGCAATAAATAAAGAATGTCTTGCTACACATCAAATTTGATGTCCTACCTGGTTCGAAGAACACGGATAGACCAAAATCAATTGCTTTTATTGACAGATCATCTTCTTTATCCAAAAGGAGGAAGTTCTCTGGCTTTAGATCACGGTGCATAACCCCAAGTGAATGGCACATAGCCACGATGCTAATAATGATTCTTATAAGCTCTGCAGCCTTCTGTTCGCTGTAATGCCCCTTCTCCTGAATTCGGTCAAAGAGCTCCCCACCGGCGCAGAGCTCCATCACAATATGCACCGCCTGCCCGTCCTCATATACATCCTTGATGGCAACAACATTCTTGTGGCCTGACAAATGGTGCATTATCTGGATCTCACGGCGCACATCCTCAACATCCTCCTTCGTGATGAGCTTGCGCTTTGGGATGGTCTTGCATGCATACTCACACCCTGTACTGATCTCGGTGCAGAGGTACGTTGTGCCAAACTGGCCTTGACCAAGCCTCCGACCAATGATATAATGTTCCCTTAGGTCCGCCGTCTTCCTTTCAAGGACAGTGATAGACGTCGGATCCAATCCCCTCTTCAAAATACCAGCAGCAGTGGGCTTAAATGAGTTCACCTCAGGCCATGGCTTGTCAAACTTCTTCAAGTCAGAGTAGCGATCGTCCTCGAGGCATCCATCAGCGAACCTAGACGCGGGGCGGTTGTAGTAGTCACTCCCAAGGGTCCCGTTTGGGCATTGGTTCCCCATTCCCAGAACACCTTATCCAAAACAATTCCGGAGTTCCCAGTCTCAAAGAATTGTGAATATCTTAGGATGCAGATGGAGGTTAAATAGCCACGGCCCACAAACTCAAAGAATTGGAAGAGCTCCTTTACAAGAAAACCCTTACTTGCTTCCCGCGAGGGAAGAAATCGGCAGCCTGACATTTCGCAACAAAGACTCAATCAGCAACCAATATTATTCAGTACAACTGTACAAGACAATTAGCAAGGAAAATCTAGCTAAGCCAAAGGAAGAGGAAGTGCAAACCTCTGGGATGGCACGAAATTCCTTCCAAAGCCGGTGTGCTCCTTCGGCGTCCTCAGGGACGAAATCTCCAGCCTGCGGGCTTCCACCACCAGACTTGACACCTAAACTTTGCTCACC